ACTCTTTTAGAATATTTTGCTGAGTTTACACACCTATAATATTCAAATAATGGAACTTAACAAAAAAAGGGGGGATACAGATGAATGTCCGTTTTGTATCTGTGTATTCAAAGTGGTTAGGATAGATACATAGTTACATTCTCTTAATGAATAGAATGATTTGCTCTAATGGTTTCTGTAAATAGGATATCAAGTCCGCATCTTGTACAGCAATTAACCACTAAGAAGAATGTATGCAGTGTGTTAATTATTGAAACTGTCTAGCGATTTGATTTGAAACTCTCATTGATATTTATCAATAAAATTATGGCAAAAAACCCCCCAAAATCAATAAAAAGCTGCTAGTTAATAAGGAAATTCTGTGGCACAGCTGGATACAAAGTCAACACTCAAAAATCAATAGCATTCCTATACATGAACAACAAAATCACTGAGAGAGAATTTAGGGAAACAACACCTTTCACAATAGCATCCAAAAAAATCAAATACCTAGGAATCAATCTAAGAAGAGATATAAAAAACCTGTGCATAGAAAACTACAATACTTTGAAAAAGGAGATTGAAGAGTATACCAGAAAGTGGAAAGATATCCCTTGTTCTTAGGTAGGAAGAACAAATATAGTTAAAATGGCCATATTTTTAAAAATGATATACAGATTTAATGCGATTCCAATCAAAATTCCAATAGCATATCTCATAGAACTAGAGAAAACAATCCTAAAATGCATTTGGAACCAGAAGAGATCTCAAATAACAAAGGCAATTCTGGCAACATTTTATCACATTCTGTAGGGACAGGAGGCAACACAATTCTAGACTTGAAATTATACTATAAAAGCTTCATCTTGCGGTAGTATTTTGCAAAAATAATTGTCTAAACTTAAGTAGAAATAAAAGCTTTTCCAGCTCAATATACTATTAAAATAGCATTTCCTTCTTGAATCTGACTGCTGAAATGGACATTTAAGTGAACTAAAAGTTATTTATTAGAATTAACATAAAAAAGAAATTATACCATAAAGCAACTGTGATAAAAATGGCATAGTACTGGCAAAATAAACACAAAGATCAATGGAATGGACTAGAAGATTAAGAAGGAATTTTATAGGGGCTGGCTCAGGATGCCTTAAGGGCAGGTCTGGAAAGGCATGAGGATCTTGGGATCAAATCACAATATGCTGAGCTTGACTTCCTTTGCTTATGCATGTACTTAAATAACTGAGCTAATGGGTAGGCTCCCAAAGTTCAGAAGGATTTTTTTTTGACTAGAAGATTCAGAAACAACTCCAGACATACTCAGCCACCTTATATTTGACAAAAGGGCCAAACACATACACTGCAAGAAAAATAGCCTCTTTGTGAATAAATGGTGCTTGAAGAATCAGCTCTGCACATGCAGAAGATTAAAACTGGACCCCTATCTTTCACCATGCACTGAACTAATTTTGAAATGAATCAAATATCTGAATATTAAGACAGAAACATTAAATCTGTTGGAAGACAGAATAGGTAAAACTCTTGAAGACATTGGTGTAGGCAAAGGTTTTATGAATACAACTCTAATTTCACAGAAACTATCACAAAGAATCAGCAACTAGGATCTCATCTTATTAAAAAGTTTTTATACAATGAGAGAAACCACCAATAGAATGAAGAGACAACCCACAATGTGAGAATAATGTTTGCTGGCTGTTCCTTGCACAAAGGCTATCAAGAAAATATAAAGAAAAAAAAAAAAAAAAAAAATCAGACCTCTCAAATTTAAAGACCCATTCTAAAAACGGGCCACAGAGATGGATATAATTTTCAGATGAAGAAATACAAATGGCAAATAAATATACAAAAAGATGTTCAACCTCACCAGTTATTTGAGAGATACAAATTAAAACAACACTGAAATTCCATCTCACCCCAGAAAGAATGGCTATCATCAAGAAATCAACCAATGACAAATGCTGGAGGGGTTGTGGGGGAAAAGGAGCCCTTCTCCACTGTTGGTGGGAGTGCAGACTGGTACAACCACTGTGGAAATCAATGTAGAGATTCCTCAAAAAGCTAGGATTAGAGGTCCCATTCGATTCAGCTATTCTTCTTCTGGGTATCTTCCCAGAAGAATTAAAAACACCGCACCCATGTTTATAGCAGTACAATTTGTAATAGCTAGATCTTTGAAACAACCCAAATGCTCATCAACTGGGGAATGAATTAAAAAAGATGTGATCTTTTCATACATATACTCAGCCATAAAGAAGGAGACTTTCATAGCTAAATGGATGCAACTTGAGACCACACTCTTAAGTGAAATAAACTTGATGGAAATGCACACACTTTTGAACACTTCTCCTACGGTGAGAAGCTGACCGTGTAAATGTGATCCCAAAATGTACAACAGATATTGTGAAGTGGGGAGAAACTTCAAATAGAGAAGCTAGTTTAGGGGAATGAAAAAAAGGAAGAGAAAAGCAAAAGGAAAAAATACATATATACACAAGATAGTTAAAATAGTTATGCAACTAATTTCTCTTAGCTCACTGAAAAAAGATTTGTGCTAATATTGTTTGGACAAGTAAATGCTGATCTCTCACACTCCAAACAACTAATTTAAAGGTAATAATATGCAATATATTAACCACTGTTACCCTTCTATCAAATTGTTAAGGAATTTTGTCTTTTATTGTCCTGATTTTTGGTTTTGTTTCTTTTTCAATTATTTTAAAGAAAATTAATAGTTAGAAATGTCTTTATACAGAAATACACATAAAACAAGGTTATATACTAATTTGTTAAAAGAAACATAGCCAGAAGCTCAGAGACCAAAATCTGTGTCTGACCCAAAAGCCCTGATTAGGCATTTCTTATTTCTGCGTTTGCGGTGACACAGAACATAATTTCCACAAATAATGAGAATCAGCTGCACAGGTAGGGACTTCTGTTGCTAGCTTTTAGTAACAGGATTCTCAATCAACTGACTGGAAACCTGTTTGTCTGGTTTAAAAATAGTGTGGTAAATCCACAAAGCATGCCAGATGCATTTTGGAGTAAGTCCAGAAAAGGTCTCTAATAGAGTATTGCTCTAGAGCTCAAAGAAATCTCTCTCCAATATTGGAGACAGCCCTACTGGAACTGCTGTGGAATTTAAGAGTCACAAAATAGTTCTCTTTGTTCCATACTTGTATTTTTATGGGTATATCGCATAAGCCCAAAAAGATGTATAACAAAATGATAACAGAATTATCTTTGAAAACTTTTTTTCCTGATAAAACACTGAAAGGGGACTGGGGAGACAGCTCAGTGGTCTAAGCAACTGCTCCAAGTTTGATCCCAGGTACCACATGCTGTTCCCAGCTCCAGAACCTGGGGCACACCATCTCCCCGCCCCCCCCCCCTTGTAAGTGCTGAAAGGCTTAGAGAAGAAAGTAATAAAAATAAATTTGCAAGAAAACCATATATACTACCCCAAGTCTCACTGCCACTGAGAGGTTGCTGAACACTTGAAAAATGACTAATTTGAATCCCAACGTCCTTTAAGTGTAAAACACAGACTGGAGTTCAAAGATTCATTATTAAAATGATAAACGTTTCAAGGACTTTTTCACTACTAATTTTTTACAATGATTACATATTGAAATAATATTGTTTTGGATATGTTAGGTCAAATAAAATACATTCTTAAATTCCCTTTTCTTTTTACTTGTTAAATGTGGCTACTAAAGCTTTACTACATAGATGGCTCATGTCATACTTCTGCGGTACACTGGATTTCTAGTGGAATACTGGTGTCTCGGGTACTTGGTGCTGGGACAAAATACCTGACACCCCAAGTCAAGAAAAGAAAGGTTCATTTAGCTCACAGTTTGTGACAGTTTCGGTCCAAGCTCGGCTGGTTCCAAGGCAGAGCAGCCCAGACAGGAGGCAGCGGCTCATGGCAGTGTAAAACACCGAAACAGTAAGAGCAAAAAGGAAATCAACAAGGGAAAAAGCAAGCCTCTTTCCCTCCCTTATCCTGTATTCAGGCTATCAGCCCCAGGTATAGCACTTATACCCATAATCCCAGCAATGGATCACAAATTAATCACAAACTCTTGATGCTCGCCCCAAGATTGCATGAGGCTTTGGGGGGAAATCCAGACACAAACCATAAAAATGAACTAAAATCTTCAAGTAGGCTTTGGCCCTTCATTTTCAGGATAAGAGCTAAGCCAAAAGCTAATAACAAAACCAGAAAAGGTTGGCATCTACAGAGTGTGAATACCCTAAATTCAGCTAAAGAACTGAATTTGCCACTAAACATAATCATTCAATCAAATTTTGGCCTACTGAGATATAATCAGAAGTGTTGTGCATGACTTCCTGGAAGTCACTATAAGGGAGATGGCTATTCCCTGGAACACAGCTACGATGGTTGATGGTCTAGTAATAATTTGGAAAATGCATATGAAGGTCACAACTTAGGCGTGGCAGAGTAGTCAGCTAGAAAATTTCCTGACCTACCTCCAACTTTTTTTCCACTTAAACATTTCTCTGTCTTACATATATGACAGTTCAGCTGGGATTTTCTTACACATAATCACTGGAAACTTACCTTTGAGTTATTCTGAAAGGACTTTATCAGTAAGGACAGTTTCCCCTGGAGCTCCTTTAAGTCCTTTGAGACACTTGTGGGCTCTCCTTTGGCCATCTTGAAACTTGCTTTAATCTCTTCTAGGGTTAATTCTCCTACCAGCAAGCTCTGTGAGGCAGTACAGAGTCCCGTCTCTCATGTTGTCCAGCCTCTTGCTGTCACTAGAAGAAACAAAAAAATTCTTAAATCACTAGTAGTCTCTATCTACCTTGTTCAATAAGAGCTGACTATCCCAGCCCACTGATGGTAGGTTGCAGACGGAGGACAATTTGGCAATATTTATCAAAATTTCAAATTATGCACACTGCAATCCAGCAGCTTAGTTTATAAGAACCTGAAAAATCAAACAGATCAAAAAGGATACAAAATATGTGCATTACATCTCTGTTGGTATTAGTTAACAACCAGCAAAACACTGGGAAGAAATTAACTGCCCATCAGTGGGAAATTGGCTAGGTAATGGTAAATTCATAGTCATTAAATGGATTTTTATTTAGTGTTGCGAAAAGATGTTCGTAAATTTTTTAAAAAAGATTTCAAAATCTCCATTTTGTTACATACACCTACATATTTATGTATACATTGCATAGTAAATGATGTAGGACATACAACAAAATGTTGGCAGCATGAGGTATCTTTGAGATCTTACAAAATGCTGAAAATAATAAACAGAAAGCAAAAATGTTTAAACAGTATTTGGTTTTTTGTTGTTGTTGTTTTTCATTTTATGTATTTGGTACAGGTTCCCATTACGCAGCTTGGACTCATAGTTATCCTCCTGTTTTCAGCCTCCACAGCGCTGGGATTACAGGCATGTGCCACCATGCCCAGACCTGGATAGACTCAGTGCACCTTGGGGGAGGGAAGCCTGGTCCCTGAGCTTTGTGCTCAGTCCACTGGGCCATTTCCCCGGCCCTTAAACAGTATTTGAATTCATTTTATTTTCTCTCACTTTCTTATACAAGTGACCTTCGTTGATTTCTTTCTTCACTTGGCCATAAATCATTCCCTATTTTTATCTTCCCCCTAGGCAGTCTGCCTCAGAGACAGATCTAACCATACTCCATATCCAAACAGCCTAGAATTTATAGGAGTGTCCCAATCTCACATAATCTTAATTTCTAATAAAAGCAATTTGTTAGCTACTTTTTACTAATACATTTTTGCAGTACCTACTGATTTCTTTCATTCACCATGATATACCTCACATATCCTAATTCTTTTCACAACCCATGCCCTCCCCTCTTTGAAGGTAGGTTTTTAACTCCGAGTTTTCAACTAATATCATTATTATTTTACATTTTCCGAACCTGTCTGACAGAACACTCAGATCTCTTTTCCATTTCTGCCTTACAACTAACCTAACCAACAGTACAGATATCTACCAGGTTCTGTCACCGTGGTCAAAATGAACTGCAAGAGTCTCACATTTATTTATAATACTGGATATCCCACATGCTACTTATACAAATTACTGAGGAAAACTACCTATTAAAATCCACAGGATTTGGTATGCATATTGAAATATATTTTAATAGTCTGCTAGAGATTCTCCCCCTTTGGACAGAAAAGAGTTAATTCCTCCACCCCATACCTGTCTTCAAACCCGCACTAAAATTGATCTTGATTTTGGGACATTTCCCGCACTCAGTTCTCCTAATCTCAACTCTAATCTCAAACACATTGGCCTAGGAATCCCAAGTGCTTCTGAGACCGGCTGAAGGAGTCCTTCGGGGTGAGCACAGGGGCAAGGCCGAGCGCCATGACCACCAAACGCATCCATCTAATGCGCCTCCCAAAGCCCTCCGTCGCTCGATCCTCGGTGGGGCGTCTGGCACCAAGCACACCCGCCTCCTCACGTCTGGGAGCCGACGCAGGCCCAACCAGCCAACCGGCTCCGCCGCGACCGCGGCCCTCCCGCATCCCACCCCGGCCCGCGCCTCTGCGAACAAGCGGCGCCAACGGTTCCCTCGGTCGCCCGCACCGGCCCTTCCCGCCTAGGCCTCGCTTTTCAGTCAAAACAAGGGCAACCCGGAGGCGGGAGCCGGGAGCCGGGAGCCGGACCCCGGGATCGGGAAGGGCCCAGCGGAGCGGGGCGCGGGGAGCCGGGCACCGGGCGGTCCACGCAGCTGCTAGCCCCGCGGAGACTAGGACGGCGCGCTCGGCGGGAGGGCGGGGCGCGGGAGGGGCGCGCCACATCCCCGGGGCACCGGGA